ACACTTTTGGGCATAGGGCTTACAGTGATTCATAAGAAAATACACAACACTCGCATATAGTAAAAAACAATGCAATAGACATTTGAATTTTTATTTTGAAAGCCTTAAAAAGAAAAAAAAACATGCGGTTTGGCCCAAATGAAATGATCCACTATATAGAATAATTACAAGAGTCTGCTCTTCCCCTCACTTGGAGAATATGAGATTACAATTATGTATTTTTATTAATGTGAGGGAGAATGCTGGAGATGCAATAATTAGATGATGCTAGTTGGGCAATGATGGCTTGATGATGTCATTCAGATGATGGTGATTGGATGACGGTCAATGGATTATAATGATCAGGCGGTGGAAATCATACAATGACACTTAAGCAATGGCGGTCAAACAATGGCAATCATTGATTGTGGTTGGATGACGACAGTTAACTGAGTTAGATAATGACAGTCAGGTGGCATTGATCAGAAGGAGGACGTCGGATGATAGCAATTTGAGCGATGTCGATCAAACAATGATAGTCGAGCAACAAAGTGGCTAGCGGTGACCGTTGGTGTCAAACATCAAGTAGAGTTCTAAATTTTTTCATATCTCCAAGCTCTCTCCAAAAGCAAGTTTTGGTCGATTTCATGTGGATAAGCGTTTATTGATATATAGTACTTTTAGATTGGACATTTAGGGTAAATTTATCTCAATTTCCATAACACTCCATTGAGGAGCTCATTTTGAATCCTTTAACTATTGATTGTTTATTTAACATTTATTTTTTTAATGGCTTTAGAATCGAGTGATTTTTGGTTTGTTGGATTATCTCGTCGAGCTGCTCGTTTTGAATTTTAAGCATGCAAGATTCGGAGTCCATTTAGTATTGCAATTAATGTCTTAAAGTTCTCGACTATTCTTCAAGTGTTGATTTAGTCTCATTTGAACTTAGATCGGATCACCTTTGGTGTCTGTTGACCTGTATACGGCAGTTTAAAAAAAAATAATAATAATAATTCATTTCGCGTACCTGCCCGCACGTCGTCGCCGCATTTCGCACGTCGAAGTCACTTCACCCCACGATCTCGCTCGCGTCGTTAAAATGAGCGCAAAGGCTCTCATTCGCGGCTGCTACCTCTCCTCTCTCCCGATTCTCCCTCTCTCTGTTCGACTCCGAGCCCACAGTGTCGTTAGGTTTGCCTTATATCAAGATACTCAATTTAACTCTAAGTTTGATAAAATTGAACTTCAGATTATCCTAATTTAATTTTAAAAATTTTCAATACAAATATTACATCAAGATTCGTGTTGATCTTTGTGAATTTTTTTAAGGTATATCAATGATGATGGTGATGATAAATGTTTTCCTTTGCCGTAAAAAGATTTTAGGGAAACCATCCTTAGTATAAGTATATGACCTTAAAACTTGTTATCTCTTGGTTTTGCCTTCTTTTTATCTCTTTTGGCACCCAGTTGTGGTAATTGGCTCCACAAAATAATAACCATATAAGACAGCTTGTTTATGTATAGCATATTCATTTTTATAGTAAATGATGAGGTAATGAATGTGCAGCAATTTTCTTTTACACAGAATATTAAGAGAGTAAGCTAGAAGTTGAACCTATTGTGAAGCTAACACACCTATTTGCAACATTCAAACACCGAAATGGTTTATTACAACTGTCTTATCTACTTGACAATCTTTTTACTGCCCCTCCCCCCCCCCCCCCACCCCCCCCCCCCCCCCTAAGCAAACAACCTCTTAACGATGGAATCTAAATGTGTATACTCATGGGAAGCGCATGAACAAACACCTATTTACATTTTCCTTTTGTTAAAAACATGCCAATAATGATGATCCTATTAAGAAGTGACACCGGATCGGAGGGGGCTCGACGAATCCACGTCGATGATTCGGTAGCCGCGGCCAGATAACTCCAAGAACTTCTTGGACGAAGGATCCACCACCTAAGAATCACTCTTAGGATACAGGAAAACAACAAACTAAACTCAACTTAAATCTTATTCATCTCAATTCTCAACCATCTTCAATTACAAACCTTGCTACCTATTTATAGACAAAGGTAGCAACATATTAGGCTACACAACCAAAAGCAAACAGTAATCCGATGTAGCCATATAACTACCAATTGGAATTAATTATTCTGAAGTTAATACAATTAATGTCTCAGCTCCGACATCAAGAAGGTATGTGTTCTCCAATATTTTGATGACCTCTTTAGGTTTTGTTTATTATTGCAAGTTTTTTTATTTAGCCTTTGACTTTTTTAGTTCAATTGTTTCCAATTTCTGGGTCCAACGCATATCCAATTCCTTGTTTTGATGACTCGTTGATTTAGAAAGTCATCATTATTGACACTGATTTGATTGAATCCTATATTCCCCATTGTGGTTTATAGTTGTTAATAAGGAATCCTCCGTTCATATGAAGAAATTTCTGGACTTGCTTGATGATCTTCACTCATCTATAGAAATATTTGGGTCCTCACCTTCTGCAACCTTTTGCCTTCCTAGGACTGAAGTTTGCTTGAAAGGACCAATCTACAACTGTTTCCATTTTTGGTTACTTGCCTTATGCGTTTTTTCCTTTTTGGTACTATTGTTTGTTGTGTTTCTCTTTGTTTGGCAGCTTGGCTTCATTTTTTGACGTTCTACAGTAATTGAAAAATCAGGTCTTCTGAAATTTAAAGTGGTAAATTTATTGTTTAGGACCTTTAGGTTGAAACTTGAGATTGGAAATTTGTCGTTATTGTCAGAATATAAGTTTGTTGAGTTGAAACTTACAGTATTATTATGCTTGATCTCTGAGAATTTTGATGAATTACTTCGGGCTTTTCTTAATTATAAATAGGATCTTTGAAGCATTGAATAGTAAAATGAAATTTATTTTTTCTTTATTATTGTGTTATTAGATTTGTATTCTTTGAGTGTTTTGGAAATTTAAACTACTTCTGGGGGGCGATTCTCCTTCTATCGACATGAGGTCTAAATCTTCAAAATGATGACTATTAGCATTTGAGTATAGTTCTCTTTCTATATTGTTTACTGATTGGTTCTTGCGCATAATTGTGATTTTGCCAAATTTGATTTGTTGATTTCATTTTTGTGGTATAAATTATATTTGATGCAGAGTTTTAATACTAGTTCTTAGATTTCTCATAGAATTTTATTTTTTTAGCAACTATTACATTATCATCTAGAGCAAATGAAGCAAATGAAGTTCGTTATCTAATTTAACATTATAACCTTTGCATCGATTGAAAGAAGAAAATCTATGAATTGATGACCTTTGGATCTTCCTGAAAAGCTAAGACACAAAAATTCTATCTCTATTACAGCGAATTTTCTAGCATGCAACAATAATCTTTATATTCCAATCAATTTGACATTATAAACCTGATTCTCAAGTAGTTCCTGATATGTATCGCATGTGACGTTAAACATATGTTGTGTAACTATGTTTACACAATTTTTATCCAATTTATCTATGATTATGCCCTTTTTTATTTCTAATTATTTGACATTAATTTTATCCACATATTATAAGTTGCACAACTTTATCCATGTTACCTATTATATTTCATAAAATTTACCATTAACTCTTCATAGTATTCTGTTATTGCATAATAATACGTTACACTATGAAGCGCCTTGGTATAAAAAATAGCAACAAACTCCAAAAGATTCAACACAAAAATATATTTTTATTGATAGAAAAACAAATGCGAACAAAGTAAGATACAATGGTCCTCTTTAAAGGAGGGCCTTCTCTCCCAAACCCTAGACGCCACTAGGATCCCTCACAAAAAGAAAACTACAGCATACAAAATCAAATTATGCATACAAAATATAATATAAACCCTATTACTATAGAAAACAATTAACAACAAATTTCAAAATAGCTTAAACCCTCTCAAATCAGCCCCCAAATATACTCTCTCCAATTAGGAAACATCTCCTAATTAATCCCCTCCAAATCTGCCCTTTTTTATTAGGAAACATTTCCTAATTAATCCCCTCCAAATCAGAATTCAAATTAGATTGCTTACCCTAAATAATTCATTCCTAATTGTAATTAAAATTTTCCTAAATAATTACCCTTTGATTAAAAACATTTCTAAATAGCTTTCTCTTGATTAGGAAACTTCCTAATTACCTCCCAATCATATCGGTCGGTCAATCACACTCTGTTGCAACTAATAAATGTCAACTCATAAAAGTTATATCTTCATCTATACACCTATTCTTCTATTTAAAGAATATGATAAAAGAAAGAAACATAATTGTCATCTACTTGTAGTTGTTTTAACAAGTATCTTATAATTCAAATTACCATTTAAAAAAAATACCCAAAGATAACTTTGAATATCCAGTGGCAAAAGAATAACAAGATCAAGAAAATAAATAAAAACCAATAATATTTTAAATTGGTTACAAACTAACAAATTTCAGCCCATAGTGACTATATTTAAATAGCATAAAAGTTTGTAGAATGACGGTTTGGAAATAAAAGAATGAAAGAGAGAAACATTACTGTCATATAATTTTTCACTTTAATAAATATTTTACAACTCAATTTGTCATCTACAAAAAACACACAAAACAAACTTTGATTTGAATATCCTGTGGCAAAAGAAAACAAGATCAAGAACAGAAACAAAACGCAATAATATTTAAAATTGGTTACAACCTTACAAATTCAAACCAATAGTGACTATATTTAAATAGCATAAAAGTTGATAGAATGACGGTTTGGAAATAAAAGAATGAAAATGAAAGAAACGGCATTCAGCCTACCATAGTAAAACATATTCAAAAAAGGGTCTCAGATGACTCGAAAAATAGATATAAATGAAGTTAAACATTAAGGTATCCACCATAAATCGTCACAAAGCAGCAAGCATACTAATGAAGAAATAAATCAGAATAAGGCAACATCAACATCAAACTTTTTTAGACATATTAAGCTATGCTGTCATCAACCAGAAGAGAAGTCATACCACATCTTTCTATGGCTGCATCTGCTTCTTCCGGAGAGAAACCCATATCAACCAATATCAATAATTTCTTATCTTTCTCCTGCGGACCCTCTATGAAGTCCTGTACTAATAAGCAACAAAAAAAGACTTCAAAAAGTTACACTTGCAACCTGAGACGCCAACACAGCATTGAACAGATCATTATGTCCATGATGCAAAGAGTCACGTGATAGGTCTCACTGAAGATCTAAGAAAGAAATGGGACATGTCATCATATAACCAAAAATTAAATATGCGAGATCAAGTTATCATAAATCATGATTATATTCAACAGAACATAAGGTTCAACCATAATTTCATCCCATAGATCAGAAAGTAGTAGGCACTCAGAGAATTAAGGTTCAACCATAAATTCATCCTATAGATCAGAAACTGGTTGGCACTTAATAAAAACATGGGTCGCTCTTGGAGATCATGCTTTTAGTTATTAACCAGGAGTTCATGAAAAAACTGATAGTGAAAGCTACAAATAATTGTTGGTAAATCACGAATCAACGCAAAAATAGTGCTAGTAGTTTAACAAAGTCTTAGCAAAATATTATTTCAAAACATGAGATGCATCTAAAAACTGGCCTGTGAGACGGCAATAAGCATAAAGCAAGAGCACGATAGACGTAAAAAAATCCTCTGAGGAACAAGAAAATGCTAATTCAGAAGCCTCACTAATGTTTGCATTGCTTTCTATACGGGCACATTAACATTTACATAAGAAAGAGGTCCACCTTGCTCTTTGCACAAGATGTTGAGCATATGAAATTTTAAAAAATAATCATCATAAGTTAAAAGAATATGCGAAGCATTATACACAACAGAGGCATTACACAATAATTTCTTAACAAAATAAATAGTAATGATCTTCCAAAACAAAACGTTTATCATGTATATAGACAAACGGCTAACGAGGTGATTTCTTCCATGCTAAATTGTAAACTAAAATTACTTTAAAATAGGAACTTAGCAAGCATCTAAGAAAACTCAGATTTAATTAATGCAACAAAAGTAAAAAAACTCATCTAAAGACTGCCTTATGCGGTGACCAATCATTCATCATCAATTTGGAAAAATTTAAAATAAAAAGAGCCATAAATAGGTTATTTAAAAAGTATGGATTTCCACTGTTTTTGAAGGCAGGTCCACATCACTAGAAATAAAAAATAAAAAATAACTAGCGAAGTTGAGTGTAAATAAACAAGAAAAGCGTTGAGGCCCAATTACTCCCACTTTCTCCACTTCCATGGTAAGGAAATATGCACTACCATATATTTTCCCTCTTAATCAAGATGTAAAACAAGCAAATTACCTGATCATTAGGGTCATCAGTATCTATATCACTGTCAAAGGAATATTCGTCACTAGTAACTGGGCACTCAGCAGGGGCATCCTCACAGTCCGAAGGAGAATTTCCAATAGCCTAGAAGTAGCAACAAAGTTCATATTCACATTAATTAAAACCTTTAAATGTGGTTGCAATTTCTAGGTATAATATGCATGCAGTTAATTGTCATCATTAAATGATACTTGATAAATATCAAAGAACTTTATTATTAGTATCTTTGTGCAATTTTTGCAAGGTTCACTTTGATTAACCACATGGAAATCGATTAACCACATGGTTTTAAACTACAGCCATGTAGTGTGAAATTACGCAGCCATAACATCTTAGGCTGTAATAGTGTCACTATTAAACTTGAAGAGAATCTGACGATTTAATGTCTCAAAAGTTCAGTTTAATGTCGAGCCCAATAGCTGACTGGCAAAATCCAAAATACGGTAGAATCAATTACAACACCCCCTCCCCCCCCCCCCCCCCCCCCCCCCCCCCCCCCCCCCCCCACAAAAAAAAAAAAAGAAGCAATACAATGTCAGTATTTTGAATCACTTAGTAGTTATCAATGTATTTAAACTCGATGGGTTCATAGTTGTAATGGTGAGCATGTTAGACGAGCTAAAAAATTCATAAGAAAGCATTTTGAACCCCATCAACGCAAGCATACACGTCTTAAAAGTGAAAATTCATAATTTCTTCAAAAATACTGGGGTGTTTTAGAATTGCATATAAATATTCGAGTATCTTATGTATAGAAACGGACTTCCAGCTATGGAAATATGGGATCTTTTTTTTTTCTTTTAAACTAAAGACACAAAAATAAATAAAAAAGAAACATGGATGACATTCCTGATTAAGATATGCAAACAATATTAAAACGTCATAAAAGCATATTTGAATATCTAACATAATATTAGAGCTAATTAATTTTAAACCCATTCACATGGCACATTTATACCTTGGAGATGGCATATTTATAGCTTGGCCATGAAATTTATAATGCTAAATTTTCACATGATTTAGTTGATCTATCTTATTAAGTTTTATGAAAATTTATGTGAATTCTACTGTAATATTCCTTATTTATCCAACGAATACCTAAATTTTTAAAATGAAAAACTAAATGTGTATTTTATATGTGGAATCAAATTATTAATACTTTAAAAATTAAAGTAAAAGTTGATAGTTTTATTGTGCTCTTCAAGATTTATGTATCACTGCGAATAAACGCACTTTGAATCCCATCAACACAAGCATACAAGTCTTAAAAGTAAAAATTCATATTTTCTTCAAAATTACGGCTTGTTTTTAGAACAGCATATAAATATTTGAATATCTTATGAATGGAAATGGAGTTCTTGTGATGCAGACAACTAGATAGAAAAACACAAAGGGGAGAACACCAGCACTAGAAGAACTTTTCTCGATTCAAAGCTTAGAAAGCCAACATCAAACAAACCTCCAAACAAACAAAAGTTAAACAAACAAAAACTAAATTAAAAATAAAAACAGCCACCCTCAGAACAACCGACTAACGGTCACCTCACATGCAATGAAATAGTAGGTAAAATAAAAGATGTGCTTAAGGACATGCAAACCAAGGGTCCACCACAGCTACTTGGGCCAATGTCCACCACAAACTCTTCTAGCAAATGCAACCAAACTGGCCAACCAACACCTCCATAGTTTGAGAAGAAAGATACAAGTGGAGTGAAAACTTGTGGAGAGTAGGTAAGAAGCCCAAAGATGAAATATTAAAGAGGAGAAGAGAAGTGGAACAAGCTCGTAAGCTTTTCCAAGAAGAAACCCTCAGGTTTTAGAGAACTTTGCTCAGCAAACAACAACCTCTAACTGCTCTTATATATATATATATATATGTGAAAAGAGGCAGCCAAACAACCCCAAACATCTCCAGCCGAACCAATCAGGAAAGGGAAAACAGAAGGCCAGCAGGCAGCTCTAGGAGCAGCACCCGAAGGGCCCACACGGGGGACAGGAAAAGGCAGCCACGGGGTACAAGAAAAGTCAGCCACGGGAGAGGAGCCAGCGGAGGAACCGAAAGGCCAACAGAGAGGGGGAAGAACCAGGTTCACACCTCATACTGAGCTAAAAAGGAGGTGAACTACAAGTAATAATGAGCTGAAATATAGTAGCTCCCAACAAAGCAGCAAAACCTGAACAACCAAGCCCAAACCGAGAAGCCCACATCAGCCCAAGAGCCAAGGCACCAAAGTAGCTAGCACACCCAAAGTATGACATGCCCAAAGCACCACCTACTCATGATCATTGGTTGCCTTCCATCATAGGGTAGCATAAAAAAATCAAAAATAACTATAGCATTCAAATTACAATAAAAAACTAAAACAAAAAACTGAAATTTGCATGCATCATCTTGCAATGCAAATATGGAAGCTTTTTTTTTAACTAAAAAGACAAAAAAGAAGAAGCAATGATGACATTCCTGATTAAGGTATGCAAACCATACTAAAACTGCATATAAGCATATTTGAATACCAAACATAATATTAGAGCTAATAAATCTTAAACCCGTTGACTTGGCATATTTTAAACCTTGGAGATGGCATGTTGTTAGACCGGTCCACAGGACTAGTCCAGTCGGGACCGGCTTACGGGTGAAACAGTGGCACTCTTCCGCTAGTTGCGGATCAGCGTGAGCCACCGAAGCGTCGAAGCAAAAGAAGCGTGTTTGAAAGGATTTTTTTTAGGGTTTTGGGAGGAAAATTTGAATGTAGGGATTGTTTAGAGATTTCCTTTTGATTTGTATGCATTCAATACTTTGTTTTCCTAGGGTTAGAGCATCTTGAATTTGGCTAAAATTTGAGATCTCTTAGAATTAGGTTTTTCTTTGGGCTCTAGCGGCGTCTAGAGATTTGAGAGAGATCGATCCTCCTCTCGAATTGAGGATCAATTGTATCTTGCTATTTCTGTTTTCCTTTCATCAAATAATACAAATTATCTACTGTTTTCGTGGTTTTGTGAGGACTTTTGTGAAGAATTGTCGTTGTTTTCCGAAGATTAACAGGAAATACTTGAGATATACAAATGTTTCTTATCAATTTGGCATCAGAGCAAGTCTTGGGACCATTCATGGGCTGATTTTGGCGAATTTCAGTAGCTGATTTTTGGTCGGGAAGGGACAAAGTTGTTGTTCTTGTAATCCAAATCCGGAATTTTTGAATTTATAAAAGTTTGGATCGAGATGGAGGCCGAGAAAGTTGATGCTCTAGAAGAGAGGCTTTAAGGGGAGATGAACCAAATCAAAACAACAGTTGAGGAAAGGATTTCCTTAGCTGATCTTCGGGACATGATGAAGAAAATGATGAAAATCCACAACCAAACAGTGGCTTCCGTGGCAAAAGGGGGGGAAGGAAAAAAACACAAATTCTGAAATTCGTAGAGAGGAAGATGAGGTGGAAATCGGGGAGGGAGAAAAAAGGCTTACGGGCGAAACAGCGGCATTCTTCCGCCAGCTGCAGATGCCGCATGAGCTACCGAAGCAAACAAGGCGTGTTTGGAAGGCTTTTTTAGGGTTTTGGGAGGGAAATTTGAATTTATGGACCATTTAAAGATTTCCTTTTGATTTGTATGCATTAAATACTTTGTTTTCCTAGGGTTAGAGCATCTTGAATTTAGCTGAAATTTGATATCTCTTAGAATTAGGTTTTTCTTTGGGCTCTAACAGCGTCTAGAGATTTGGGAGAGATCGATCCTCCTCTCGAATTAAGGAGCAATTGTATCTTGCTATTTTATGTTTTCCTTTCATCAAATAATACAAATTATCTACTGTTTTCATGATTTTGTGCAGACTTTTGTGAAGAATTGTCGTTGTTTTCCGAATATTGATAGGAAATACTTGAGATCTACAAGTGTTTCCTATCACATGTTTATACCATAAACATGAAATTTCTATCGCCAATTTTCAAATGATTTAGTTGAGCTATCTAATTAAATTTTATGGACATTTGTGTGTATTACTGAAATATTCCTTTGTTATCCAACAAACACTTAAATTGTTAAAATAAACATGTATTTGTACATAATATGATCAAATTAATAATATTTTTATAAATTAAAAATGAAAGTTGATGCTTTCGAGATTTAGGTAGTATCATTGCGAATAAAAGCACTTCAGTGTTATTTCTATGACTATGTAAGATTTTAGTATTCCTATTATATTTTATAGATTAGATATTTCCTTTCCAAAATTAGTGAATATAACTTTTGTCTGCCATTGATAGTGATGCGGACATCCCATCATGAAGATTTTCAAAGGAGGAGACGACGATCGACGACCGAGATCATTCCACCTTATCTTAATTTGTTATTTGTTATTTTTTATTTTTATTATGAATTTTCCATTTTTACCCTTAATTAAGAAGGTCGTCCTATGTAAGTCCTGGGGGCATATGCGTCTTGTTTTAGTTTCTTAGGCCTATATATAGACGTCATTGCTTGTGTAATGTAATGATGAATTATTAAGAAAAGAAATTTTATTTGCACTTATGTTCTTTGGAGAGAACTTGGGTGAGATTCCTATGGGAGGGAATCAGAGTTTCCACCAGCTGCAGGATGGGTCCGGGCTCGTGGCTTGAAGTCCCTTGGAGAAGGGCAACGTATTACCCGTCAGCTGCAGGATGTGTCCGGGCTCACGGTTGTATCTTTCTTTCACTAAATTCTTTTCTCCTCCTCCCTTGACCGTTGGCCAAAATCCCCCACTTACCACAGGCCGATTCTCCCACAAATCCCTCCAAAGCCACAAGCTTCCTCCAATTTATCCATATCAACCGCCGGCCATAAACCACTCCACCACCACCTCCTCCTAGTCGGCCACCCCATCTCCTCCCATCTCCTAGCCGCCGGCCACCCCCATCCCTTTTTTCCTTTTAATGATGATTTCAACAAAATTAGCCTACCTAAATTGGGGTAAGAATTAAATATATTTGAAATTCAAATTTGAATTTCAAATACTTTCCTAAAATTAACTAAGCTAAATTAGAAAAGTTCCTAAATTTAAGTCTAATTTGATTTTAAATTAGATCTGATTTAATTACCATTTTCCTAATTTAGAATCATGATTTATGAAGTTTTAGATTCCCTCCCAATTCCCCTCCCCATTAATTACACCTATTATATCGTTCCTTAACCGCCGGCCTCCCTCTCACTTCTCATTAGATCCCAAATTAAATCTGCATTAGTTATTTCCTTAGTTAGCCTCTTGTTATTTGGAAAGAATTTGAATTCAAATTCAAAATAATTTGAATTTTAAAAAAGCTTTCTAATTAAACCAACTCTCATTTAGAAACCCCATAACTCTCTCAAATCTGAAATTAATTTCAGATTTAATTATCCTCATCACATTTAAAGCTATGGTCCACATACATTGTATGTGGACATTTCTCCTCCCTCCCCATATGGCCAGCCCCCTCTCTCCCTTATTTTAATTATTTTCTTCCTAATTAAAGGCCCCAATTAAGGAGAAAACTAATTCATCTCTTCCCTCCCTTTTTTTTGTATTTGAATTTCAAATTCAAATTCATTAATTAAGGGAAATATGAGATGGAATTTTAGCTCTTTAGTTTTTTTTATTACCCCTCCCCTTCCGTTCTACATCAGATAGTTTCCTAGATTATGCTAGAGCATTAAATAAGTTTGAGAAGCTTCTAACTTGCACGATCCTAACAAGTTTAGGGTTTTAGGGGAACACAATTTAGCAATGACAATCATGTGTTTACATGGATACCATTTCTTAAAATCTCCCATGATTATCATAGCTAGGCAATAGACATGAAATTTCTAACGCCAAATTTTCAAATGATATAGTTGAGCTATCTAATTAAATTTTATGGACATTTATGTGTGTTCTACTGAAATATTCCTTAGTTATCCAAACACCTATATTGTTAAAATAAAAAAGTATTTATACATGATACGATCAAATTATTAATATCTTTATAAATTAAAAATGAAAGTTGATAGTCAAGATTTGAGTGGTATCATTGCGAATAAAAGGTCTTTAGCATTATTTCTATAACTATGTAAGATTTTAGTATTACCTGTTATATTTTATAGAGAAGGTATTTCCTTTCCAAAATCAGCGAATATAACTTTTGTATGTCTTTGATAGTTTCCTAGATTATGCCGGAGCATTAAATAAGTTTAAGAAGTTTCTAACTTGCATGATCAAAACAAGTTTAGGGTTTCAGGGGAAGAGATTTTAGCATGACAAGCATGTGTTTACATGGATATCATTTCTTAAAATTTCCTATGATTATCATAGCTAAGCAATAGACAAGAAATTTCTAACGCCAAATTTTTAAATGATTTAGTTGAGCTATCTAATTAAATTTTATGGACATTTATGTATATTATACTGAAATATTCCTTGGATATCCAACAAACACCTAAATTGTTAAAATAAACATGTATTTATACATGATACGATCAAATTATTAATATTTTTATGAATTAAAAAAGAAGATTGATAGCACTTCAAGATTTGGGTGGCATCACTATGAATAAAAGCACTTTACTGCTATTTCTATAACTATGTAAGATTTAATTTTACCTACCATTATAGAGTAGTTGTTTCCCTTCGAAAATCAGCGAATATAACTTTTGTTTGCCGTTGATGGTTTCCTAGACTACGCTAGAGCATTAAAATAGTTCAAGAAGTTTCTAACTTGCACGATCCTAACAAGCTTAGGGTTTCAGGGTAAGAGAGTTTAGCAATAACAAGCATGTGTTTACATGGATATCATTTCTTAAAATTTCCCATGATTATCATAGCTAGGCAATGATGTTTTCACCTTACTATTTTTGGAATTTTGGACTTATCCTTCATGGAATTAAAATAGAATTAAACAAGGTGGGGTTATTATGATTCTTATGCAGGCGTGTGATGGATCCTACGCCTAGTTGCTGAACAAGTGGGATAGGATGGCTGCAATTCCGTTGTTGGAAATTTCGAATTCAAATTGGTATTGTTCAGCTATATCAATTGAATCTCTCAAACACGTTGTGGCAGATTCAAAGCCTTAATGAATACCCATCATTCTTAGGTTTTTTTTTTTTTTTCAAGCCACCTCTTCTCGGAAAACCACTACACACAAACCTCAAGCAATGCTCCTCTAACACTACACAACTCTCCATACTCCGATCAACTGCTCAAGTCACACCAATACATCCACAAGGCACCACTCCTCCATAATGTTAGGCTTTATTCATAGCCTTATACCTAACCAGAAGACAATAAAATTTACTAGCAAGCTATAGCACTATAAGATAGTATACAGAAACATGCTTCTCTATTCAAAGGCCTTAGATGCAACATCACCCAAACTCTCCAAAGCCTACTTAGGCCAAAAGTTTGACAGTTCCAAAAATCTCCAAGGCTCTTTAGTGATAGTAAGTATATTTTCACCATTAACCGTGGTTGTTCGCTAATCATTGACGATCATATCAACTGAGTATCAGTTGACCGAACGATCACAGGATTTTTTTTTTTTTTTTTTGCTCGACGTCAATTTATAACATATTCCACTAAGGAAACAAAACACATCATGCACAAAGCTTCTTCTTCCCAAATCACGCGCAACTATGTATCACATTGAAATTTTTAAATATTTGATAAAGTGACAGTTTATTTGATTTTGAGAAAAATTAAAAAAAAATTTAGAGCTTTAATGTTTAAAGCCTTAATATAATTATTAAATATTAAGAAAATTATATTTTAAAATTATATATATATATATATATATATATGAGTGCGTGTGGGGGGGGGGGGTTTAAACAAGAGAATCAACGCCAAAAGTGTGGGGCCATTCAAAATAAACAAGAGAATCAACGACAATATGATTTGTAGCTCCCAAATCAATAATTAAGGAGCAAGAAATCTAAGACATTAAAGGCATGAGAAGAGGAGATAATACCTAATAATACTATAATGCAAGTACCTATCATAGATGTTTTTTTAGTGATCCTAGTAAGTTCAAAACTTCACAATTTTTATTCTTTTTGGAACTCAAATGGATACTTCTTTGGTGCTCACTTCTCCCATATAGGTTAGATAAACATGTTTTATCTTTCACCAATCTTCCTTTTGTTGTCTAATTCTATTGTGGTTTTTCATTAAGGTCTAGCATATTTTATTAGGATACCAAGCTTTTTTTGTAATGCGTGCACCTAAAGGAATCTCTATTGACCATTTTACAGGGATCAGTTGCTTGTAGTCGTCAATAAGAGATGGTTTTGTATCAATATATTTATATTGGCAAAATTGACACCAAGATAGTTATTTACATTCAACTGAAACGTTGAATGAATGTTCCGAGTCCCAAGTGAATAAAAACCCAAGAGGATATGAGCATTACAGTAGTTGTTTTCTATGGAGAGGAAGATAGTAAAAATAGAGTATTCACAGGAGCAGAAAAAGAACATAAACTAAAAAATTCTTTTTCAAAAACTACCAAAAAAACAAAAGAGAAGAAGATAATTAGAAAAAAAAAATCGTAAGGCTCTAATGCCATGACAATAATTTGATAAATTGTTAAATGTCTTTTATTCTAGTATGTGTACTTAATTTATATAATCATAGGAATGTTTATATATATAAACTTGGGGACTAAAAATCATGGATAGGAAAAACAACAAAATAATTACAATAGGTAAGCTAAAATGTTAAAATTATCACAAGGAATGAAAACCCATCCATGAACATGTAAAGCTGACATTGTAGATATGTAGGAGGTATGGTAGTTGGCATGATCATTAGGTAGCTATGAGGCAGCTAGCAAAGTAGCGGGCAATTGGCTGGGAGGCAACGGGTAAAGTCATGATCTCAACAAGGCGTGGCTGGTAGAGCAGCTAGCAAAGGTGCAATGTCAGAGATGTGCATTTCCATAGATCCAAGCATGTGCCCTTGCTTCCAAATTTAAAGCAAAAATTAAGAAATATGTTGAGATGCCAGATGGACCATCAAGATTCATTGTCATATTTTATTGAGGCTATGCTCTCATGTGTAGATTTAATGCGAGTGTGTGTAAATAAATTTCATAATGCTGTCTAAATAATTAGATAAGGCTACTCCTAATGGTGATGATAGCACAATGTTTCATTCACATATTGTCAGTAATACAAACTAGAAAAAAATTTAGCCAGTGAGAACCAGATTGTGCAAATCCAGTTTAAATCTTTTGTATGTGTTCTAGAACCATAATATGTTAAGAAAATGCCATACCAACAGTTTATGGCAATAAGAAATATAAATAATTTTGATGAGCTTTTATCACATCTCTGCCAACATTTCCATGCACAATGCTAAGAATGGTCAAGTTTCCACATATACACCCACTCCACCAAGATGACTAGCCAAATATTGAAAATGTGATTTAGGCTGAAATAATAGTTACCGAATAAGTGAGTAGAGTTTCAAGAATAGTTTCCACGTTTCCTTCTCCTGCAATCAAAGAACATAAATTACCATCAAGAGCACCAAAAGAACCAAAACCACACAAAGTGATCCTATAAAATAACCAACCATTTTCCTTTATGGCCTTTTCAACCATGTCTCCGCTAAAACCCATTCCAATGAAATGGGAATATAAGCTAGGCTGAGAAGGACCTGCCTCAGAAGCCTTCAAAGGATTCAGAAATTGAGTCAACATTGTTCATGAAATAGCCAAACAGTTACTCTAATAAAATAAATAGGGAAAGAGGGGATAAAATGTCATTGAGAGTAAATTAAACAAGTTTACAAGTAGATATACCTCCCCAGGAGGATCTGCAGGGCTTTCCTTGTCATCCTCATCAGTCTCCCAGCTGAAATTGTCGCTGTTCTTCTCATCACTGTCGCTGACCCAATCCTAAACAAACTATGTCAATAACTATTAATAAAATAAATTTTGGTTAGTGCGTGGAATTGATTGGCACAGCAGGAATTGGAGACAGAAAGAACAAACCATTCTCAAAAAGCTTCCCTGCTCAGAAAGATTCCACTGAGACCCCACTGAAACACCAAGAAAAGAGATTATAAATTACTATAACACTAAACGAATTAGCACGACACTCTCAGACTACAGCAGCGATTATCTGCTTCCCTTCTCTAACCAATCCCTCAATAATAGCACACAAAATTATATCCATAAATTTCATTGTTTACTCAGAAAAACACTCAAAAGTTTCAAATAATTAAAAATAAACACCCTTCTCATCTCTCCCTTAGTTAAATCCCGACACTGATATCCCCTCCTCATGCCGCACCGAGCCTGTCCCAGCGTCTCGATTTCCTCTTCTTCTTCGTCATCCTCAAGCCGCCGATCCCATCAATGCAAGGAGATTCCGCGGCAACTTCCTCGTCTTCTTCTTGGTCGCGACTTCAAGACGAGGGTTTCGTGAAGGCGTAAAAGGAAGTTAAGCATATAGTATAAAAATAATAATATTTTGATGTTAAATATGTAAATGATATATTTAAACCCCCCTAAAGAAAATGATAAAATAGATGAAGACCTACCCGAATCAAACAAAACATCCTCAGAAACGGATCGACGAGGATCCAGCCGCCCTTTCTCTCATTTCCTTCTGCCAAGGCGGCGACTACAAAAATAATTCGTGGCTCATTAACCGATCTCCCCCCGGCAGCGATGATGAGGACGATCAGAGCAATCTTCTCCAGCGGAAGGCGAAATGGAGACGCTGGAGAGACAGAGAAATAGGACGAAGCGCAAAACTCAAGACGGCCAAAAGCCGACCACAAGCGAAGAGTTATAGAGAGAGAAAGGTTCCGAGGGGAATCGCTGGGGTTGCCAGGGTTCTGCATCTTTGGCGCCTTTGAAGTAAAAAAGAACTGCAAGCTCTGAACTTCGCTGCGTAGTTGCATACAGCAGAGAGGAGAGAGGAGTGGCGTTTCGAATGCAATTGTTCATGGATTCTAGTGGATTTTCGTGTTGCCCATAAATTCTAATGTTGGTTTCTCATCAAACAAAAAAGAATTAACGGTTGTGATGGACTGTATAACTTATTCAATTATATTTGCTGTTTCATATGTTACAGCAGATGTAAATGCAATAATAATAAGATATGAGGTGATGGGAGAATATAAGACTAAAGATTAATGATTAGTTGTCGTTGGATATGCATTGAGATTTGTGTATAACTTTAGATATGAGTGAACTTAAATATTATTTTTTATTTTATTTATTGGTCAAATTGAAGTGCATGTTACTCATTGGCAGTCATAAATTTATTTAGATTATATAATATTTCTTATAATTATATATTTATATATTTAATATTTAATATTTATACATAAATCTTTAAGGTATTCTTTGATTTGTTAAAAAATAAATGCAGAGTAAAAAAAATGCAATTCATTTTAAATATTTTGGAGTTATTGGGATTAATATAAAATAAATGCATTTAATTACTTCGATTTTATTTCGTTAAAAGTAAAATGAATGCAACATAAAGCTCAATTATGATATTGATCAATGGCTCGTGCGACAATGACGACGATTAATTATGATATTCTTTGTGATGGTTTATATAAATTAAAGCTTGATAATTTATTTACTGAAACATTGATGGCATTGCATCATAATTTTGATATGAACAAATATGTGGATGTCATGAGTGTCTCTACCCATAAATGTTGAGGAAGAGAAGCCTCAAGAAGAAGGGTGTGAAGAGTCTCAATGAGGTGACAATGTTTTCTCTCGGCAACACCATTTTGGGAAGGTGTATGCGGGCAAGAAAATTGATGTATGATTCCCAAATTTTTAAAAATTATTCTAAATTTGCTGTTGAGAAATTCACCGTCGTTATCAGTACGAAGAATTTGTATTTTAGCATTAAATTGTCGTTCTATCATTTTGTGAAATTCAAGAAATGTGTTGAAAACATCAAATTTTTGAACAAGAGGGTAAACTCAAGTATACTTTAAAAAATCATCGATAAAAGATGCATAGTATCGATATCCGCTAGATGACATAGTTGGGGACGGTCCCCAAACATCAGAATGAACTAAAAAGAAAGGTTTAGACCTAACATTTTGAGACAAAGAAGTAGATAGACGATGGCTTTTAGCCATACGACACGCATTACACATAGTGGGAGTGGTAGAAGTACAAATGTCATGAACATTATGAGCTAAAAAGGACAGCACACGAGTTGATGGATGACCAAGTCGTCGATGCCACAAATCTGGAATCGGTTGGACCGAGAGAAGAGCAAACCGGGAAGGCGTGGTTGATGTGAATGAGTGAACTTGAAATGGATAGAGACCATTAATACACGGACCCGTGAGAAAAGTTCGGCTGGTCCTCCGATCCTTGATAGCATAACCATGAGAAGAAAAGGTTATAAGGCAGTCATTATCAATATTTAGACTATGAACATATAGTAAATTAAATGAAAGATTGGGTACAAGATTTAATTGGGACAATTGTAGACTACCTTGAGGTGTAGGTAAGATTCCTTTACCAGTGGTGTGAATCGGAAGTGTTTTGCCATTGCCAATGACTACCTGATTTGTTCCTGTGTAAGGTTGAGACGTTTGAAAATGAGTGAGATCGGATGTAAGGTGGAAGGAGGCCCCACTATCAAGAAACCAATCTGTTTAGTTCGTAGTAGTTGGGGAACTGTAGAGAGCGGTGTTGGGGGATAATAGTTGCATTGGTCATCATGTGGCCAGTGCCAACATTTGATGGCAAAATGATCGGATTTTCCGCATATTTGACAAGTAATGAAGGATCTTGATGATATGCCACCACGGTTTGGATTGTTTTAGGTGTTGTTGGACGATTTTCGGTTTTGATTGGATTGATGGCCACGGGTATTGTTAGGCCGATCGACCCCCACGATTAGTCGCAAGTGCCACGTTGTTGCCGGAGAGCTATAATGCTTGAAGATCTCAAGAGGTTTCATGAGCGATATTGAGTTCTTCACTACTCAATAGGGTATAAAGATCGTCTAATGTCAAGGGTTGTAGATTGGTTCAGATTGAAGTCTTGAAGGATTGATATGTCGGCGACAACCCATCCAATGTGTAATGGATAATATCTTCGACATCTAATGGGGCACCGGCTGCAACTAAAGCATCGGCTTTAGTTTTAGTTTTGACGTCCAACAGATACTAAGCCATCGTCTTGTCTTTCATGGACATATAATATAATGGAGTTCATGCTTCAATTGGATGATTCTTGATCGCGTACTGGATTGAAGTCAGCTGTCCACGGAGAGAACGTAAGGCAAGATTGAAGAAGAAATAAACGAATATAAGGAGGCAGCAAGATTTTAATCTAAAGAACATCAGGCAACGTAATTTGGATTGGCGATCGTGAGACCAGCTGCATCAGTAATCTTCTCAGGCGGCGGTGAAGTTGTGCCGTCCAAAAGACCTTCATAACCATTTGCACATAAGAGTTTGAGAACCTGAGTTCTCCAAAGATGGTGATTGTCGACAGAGAGGGCCTGAGCGACAATGTTCTTGATGTATCCCATCAAGAATTTGAGCGATGTGGGAATTTGAGGAGACTCCTATGAACGATCGCGGACGACCGGAGTTTCAGAGGCGGACTGTTGAGTAGAAGACATAACCGAAGATTGAGGCATGATCGGAGAAAAAGAAGATGAACAAGAAAGAAATCAGGGAGAGGAAACGAGTTGCTTTGATACCATGTTAATGCTCAGAACAACCCAGAGATCCAAAACAGAGAAAAGGAAAAGCTATTTCATTTACTATGGAGGGCTCTTTAAATAGAAGAGCAAGGTACATAAATTACAATGAAGTATAATTACAAGTAATATTTAATGCCACGTGTATAATACATAACTGTCAACAGTTTGGTTGATGAAGGATTTGTTTATCTGTGACATAAAAGATTGAGTCATATATCTAAAGAAAGAATAAAAGATTAATGAAAAACAACATACATTATTCCTGATTTAAATTTCGCATTGATCTTGATATATGTGTGAATTATATCAAAGAATAATTTATAAAGCGCACAATTAAGAAAACAACCACAAAAAGCACACAACTATTAGAGATTATACACAATGATATGTGGGTCTTTTGATACTTCATCTTTTGGTGGGAAAAAAATATATTTCATTACCTTTATCGATGACTTTTCACATGATAGCTATGTCTATTTGTTGAATGAAAAATCTCAATCAATAAATACTCTAGAGGTATTTATTAATAAGGTTGAGAGACAATTATATAAAAAAAGGTAAAAATTATTAGATATGATAGAGGTTATGAATATTATGAGATCTTCACTACAAAAAATAATGGCTATTAGGGCACCTTAAAGTATCATAATATGTATATATTAGGGCACATGATATATTAAGGCATCAAACAATTGTGTCACTTAGGTGGCCGTTGGCATACGGTTAAGGGCATCTTTTTGTGCCCTAAAAACTAAACTTTTATGACATATAATTCTGATGGCATAGTCTTCTCAACGACACATATAAGGTGTCCTAATATACTAGCTTTTCCAACATGTTTATATGATGGAATTTATTAATAAATATGACAAATATTATGTGTCATAATAGGTTAACTTTCCTAACACATTTATTTGATGAAATATATTTAATAATAAGACACATTTAAGTTGCCCTAAGATATATGATTTCTCAACACTTGAATTTAATAAAATAATTTTAATAAAATGACATTATTTTATACCTAAATATATGTTGTATCTAATATAAATTATATTCATTTATCAATTAATTATGCTGACTCATAATATTTCATTTGCAAATAATTAATCTTCAATCAAATTTCTAAAGAATTTTACCTGATGCGGCCGTCCCGATTGGAGGAGACGAACAAGAAGAAGCGATCAAGAAGAAGATAACAAGAAGAACCCTAGAAAAAGAGAAAGAGACGAACAACGAACAACAAGAAGCGGGCACCGTAAGTGTAACTTATCTCACGATTTCATCCTCATGCCAAACCTCGCCCCAAATCGCTGTTAATTAACGCGAAATAAAATATGCCTCAATAAATATTTGTTAAGGCACTTAAATAAAAGTGTCAAAATATATATGCCTTTAAAAATAATTTTTTGTTGTAGTGTACAAGACAATGAATATGAATAATGTCCTGATTCATTTGTTAAATTCTTAGAAAAACATGATATATATGCTCAAATACAATGTCAGGCACCCCACAATAAAATGGTATTGAAGAAAGACATTAATGTTAGACCATTATGAGTTCCTCTCATTATAGATTATTTTTAAGTATAAAATAAATATTGTGATACATGGAAGGAAATATGTTGATTTAATAATGTATAACTGTCATGATCCTTATTAGCTTTTACTTAATAATGAATTACAATTTGACCAAATTAAAAAAGTTTGATATATAATGCGCATTATGTTTATAATTATAAATGTCTAAATTAAATAATATCAAGTGAACCAAGTGGGAGAATGTAGGGATTAATTAAGTAATTAATTACCAAAATGTAAGAATTAATTACGCAATGTTGCTTATATTAATTTTTTATTTAATAATTAATTAGATGCTTAATTCCTATTGGTGAAGAGAGTATTTGATCAATTGTTTATGAAACTTTTGTCACTCCATATAGATAATTAATATAAAAGAAAGAAAGTGAGGTGAAGGAAGAAAAACCCTAGTTTCTCAATTTGAAAAAATCCATGGAGGAATCTGCGCAATATCGAAGTATGTTATTATATTACAAATTTGTAAAAATCATATTGTTCAAGTTCTTGGGATTAAAGTGCTCATACGATTATAACGTTTAAATGAGAGTGAATATTTTCTTTAATAAGTTTTAATGACGAATCTAATATTTTCTTTCATCGTAAAAATTTTCTTACATGTATACCCCTCATTTATTTATTGCTAGCAAAAATACAAATGCATAAGATACACTTC